GTATCTTGATCTAGCTGGACTTGATTCAAGGAACGGAACAATAAAATTCCTTCTTTCCTTCCATCCATCTTTTGACTTTCACTCCCCTTAAATTTATTCAGTGGGAAAGTACTTTCCTTCTCCTGCTTGAAAATTTCGGCATTCCCATGACATTTCTCTTACTTTCAGAAACTAAAAATATCTTGGTCACCTTGATTAAAAACACAGTCTTGGTTCAGTAACTAACAGTATATTAACTATCAAATATTCAAATTTGAATTAAGCTAAAATCTCTCTCCTTCCCTTGATGGGATCTTCTACCAGGGAAAGGACCATCTTTCTTTTCTCTGTGCTCACTTTCTCCTTTTTCTATCTTGCTAAGTGTGGTTTCCTCTAAGGAAGGAGAGGGACAGGGGGTAAACAGTCAGGGACACTCTGACTGGTATTGTAAAACAGTGTTTTATGGGCCTAGTAAGTGTCTAAAGCTGATACTTTGTATGTGGGTTATTCAGAGGATTCCATTGGGGACATTCAACTTTCCATGATAGGAGCCCTCGAGTTTCCTCTGACTTTCTGCTCCCCTTCAGCCCCTAGTCTTTTGGCTGACCCTACTCCCCAAAGACTTTTTCTGTTAGGATCCTGTGGCTCCCCCAGGCAGTCCTTCCTGGGTGGGATTTAAAAGGCTCCAGATTAGCGCTTTCTCCTTAGTGATCGTTTTGCAAAGGGGGCATGGATTCATGCACTCCATCAATGCCACTTGGTACAAATATAAAATAAGGCTTATTGGGAGAAATGTATAAGCAGAGATGTAGCAGAGTATAGAAAATACTTCATGCTCCCATTATTCCACTGGGAATGGTGCTTCGACCCAGCATGTGTGCACTGGAAGCAGCATGGCCGTTTTCCCTAGAGAGGAGCCTCACTCCCATGTGCATTCCACGTTCACAGGAAGAAGGACAGGAATCACCTGTGCGCCTGTGTAACGATGGAAAATTCCTACTTGGGAAAGAGACCTTACTAGAAAGAGGAAGCCTTCTAAGGTAAGTTGTCGTGGACTAGCTGCTTTCCCTTTGAGTGAAATCAGACCTTGTGAGCCAGCTCTTTACTAAAAGAACAGGGAATGAGACTCCAGGGCCATGCAAGTTTGTTTCTTCTGAGCAGTCTGTTTAGGCCTCCTTTGCCCTGACAAACTGGAAGTGCAGGCCCATCCCAAAGCAGCTAACTTGTCCTTGCATCCCCACATTGAAGTAGTGAGTCTACTTCTGCCTTTAAAATTTTCTATTAGGGGAACACTTATTCTGATTGATGGTATGACGTGTTGCCTGATTCTAGAGTTGCAAAAAAGCCAATGAGATCTTTAACTAAAGAAAAAAAAAAAATCCAGATACCAGGCTACTATGTCTCCCTGGCTACCTAGGACGAACATAAAATTCTCTAAGTAGACTTGCTGAAGACCCTCTCTCTTAACTGAGGAGGAGCAGAAGGCACCCGTTATCCCTTCATTCTGGAGGTAGGAGTCATAGAACAACTCTCTCCAAGGAAACCTTCCTAACATATTCTCTTAAAAGCCTCAATGTAAAAATTGCTTTTGACCATCTACTTAAACATTTTTGATAGTGGATTCTTTGAAATAAGATTTGTTGTTCATTTGTTTTTTGCTTTATAGAAACTGAGCATGGGAGAGTCACGACTTTGATAGTTGGTTCTCAACCTTGGCTGGACATTAGAGTCATTGTGATGTCAGAGGTAGAGTCCGGGGGGGCCTGATAGTCGCCCTCAGCCCACCCCGTCCTCTTACCAGTCTCTTGACTCTGCCACAGGAAAGAACTCAAGGGCAGAGTCATAGTAGACAGTGAGAACTGGTTTAATATAATAGATAAGAAATACAGGTTCCATAGAGAGAGTGTGGCATGCTCCAGACACTGAGCAGGGCCCACACCAAGTCTAACACAAAAATAAGTTCAGTACAGACATCAAGTCTAACACAAAAGCGAGAGAAACATCCTTGAGTTCAGTACAAAGTGCAGGCTGGCTCAAGAGAATGAGCAGCTGCTTGCTGAAAGTAAGCTAGATACAAAGTAAAATATACACACCTCAGCCAGCGAAGTGCAGGTGGCCTCCAGGAAAGTGAGCAACAAGACTGCCTTCAGCTGGGATTCGGCTTTTATGGTTTTTCTATCTAGCGAATATTCAATTAAGGTGGTGGTTCCCAGTTGTATGCACCAGAATGTTCTGTGCTCTCTATTGAGCATGCCCAGCTACTGGATTGCATAAGCCAGCCTCCTGTGGTCTCATTTTCCCTGTGTTGGTGCTAAAAATAGGTCTGACTGGCAAGTCACTTTCCCCCAGGGGAGAGCCCAGAGGAGGGGGCCTGAGTGAGACCTCAGACAGTGGCTAGAAAACCAGAAGCATGTCCTGAAACCCAAGTCCAGGAAAACAGCACTTCCTGTATCAACTGGAGAAGCCTATTAAAGTCCCTGTGCCTAGGCTGCCCCTGACCAATTAAATCAGAGTCTCTGGACCAGAAGCATGTCCTGAAACCCAAGTCCAGGAAAACAGCACTTCCTGTATCAACTCGAGAAGCCTATTAAAGTCCCTGTGCCTAGGCTGCCCCTGACCAATTAAATCAGAGTCTCTGGAGTTGGGATCCAAGCATTAATCTTTTCTGTAAGCTCTCTAGGTGATTCCAGTGTGCAATCAAGGTTGAGAACCACTGCTGCTATAGAAATAAAGGCTGTGAAATGGGAAAGAGAAATATTTTTGGTGATTAAACATAATTTCCAGCAGCTTCTACTCTTGATCATGGATTTTTTCAGTTCATCTTGGGCCTGCCTTTCAAGAGCAGGCAATCTGTGTCCGTTCCATGTTGAGTTGGTGCACAAGGGTAGGTTGTAGTTAGCAGGGTTTCTGGGATTTGCCCACAATACGGGTTTTGCTTTCTGCCAGTGTGTTTCTGTTTCTTCTTGTCTGCTAAGTTTTGTCACTAGATTTTCAAGATGTGCCTTCCAGCTCTTGCTTTGGGGAACTCTTTATACCCCTGCCTGAAACCCTATATCCCATCCCCTCATCCACTTCCTATGGGGACATCAGTGGTTGCTCCCACAGCCTGGGGTGGGCGACTCCTTGGCTCCATTGCTTCGTTGACTCTTTAGAATCCCACCACTGCCTATGATATCTCGCTTTCTTTTTCCCATACAACCACTTCCAAGGGCCAAGATGTAGGCATCTATTATGTGCCAGACATTGTTAAAAATAAATTCTTTGTATTCCAAGCTTTCCATATATAATCTTATTTTATCTTCCCAATCATGCTATGAAGTGTGTGCTATTATTACATCCCACGTTATGATGAGAAAACTGAGTTTCTTTCTGGTCAATCACAGCCTCGACACAAAGAAGGAGACTCTATCAGCCACAGTTCATGGTTTTAAGTGACAGAAACTGACCCTTGCTGATTTAAGTAGGAAGCACATTTATTAAAAATACATTGGGTTTAAATGCAAATAACTTCTTAGTATTAAAATATTCTATGAAAAAATGTTTTTGGGTTTCTGGCTGGTACAGGGATCCAAACCCTTGACCATGGTGTTATAACACCATGCTCTAACCAACTATGATAACCAGCCAGCCAAGATTATTATGTATTCTTAAGACATAGTAAATGTAAGACTTTAAAAAAGGAGAACATAAATACAGTAGGACTAACAAAACTGATAGTATCTATATTTTATTTTTAAAAAAATCATATTTCTTTCTGCCCCATGATAGAGTAGGATATTTTTACTCTTTCTATTTCCTTTTCTGGGAATATTTCCCTGAGCTGACTGCAGCCTTTAGGACATTCATCATTTCTATTAGGTAGTGGTAAAGCTAAACACAGTCAAATGTAAAACTCACTTTGACTTGCAGCTATGCTCTTACCAAACCCACATTATACTGGTTCCAGGTGTCAATACAATATGATGACATCAAGCTAAATTTCCTCTGAATACAAGTGTTTAAACATGGAATGCTTTGGATTTTGTCCACTAGCAACAACACGGGTTAGACTTGTAGTAATTAGTTTCCATCTCCCCAACAATGCCCATCTCCTCTGTGTCTTGTCTAGACCCTCTATTCATCAATCAGTTCCTTTGCATCTATTCATCACATAGTCTATGTCTAAAATGCCCATAACTTTTTCAACAGTAGGAAGCATATTGGATGTCATCACAAGTTAAACATCTGTTTCCCAGGGGAAATGGGTTTTAAAGCAGACAGGTAATCAGAACTTGTGAAATTGAATTTGAATTTCAAATAAATTACAGTTTTAGTAAAGAAATTAAGAAAATTCTGTTTTTCTTGGCTGCCCACATATATGCTGATATATGTGTATTTGAAACCATATATATATAAATATAAATATATATATATATATACTTGGAACATATACATGTATTTGAAATATATATATATATATTTGATATATATTTGAAATATATATATATTTGATTTCTAAAGCAGTCTTATTTCCGATAAATAAACGACTACCCCCCATCAGTTTTTGTTACAACCTAAACAACTGAGATACAGTCAGTTCATCCTTTTCTAAGATTATGGCCTCTGCAAAGATCAACAAGTAGTTTTGGAGAAACAGGATATACGTTTTTGTTTTACTGCAATTCTTTTATACATTCTCTCAATGTATTTAGTGAGTACCTGCTATATGCCAACCACTGCCCTAAATGCTGGGGATACAGCTTTGATCAGAACAGGCAAATCTCCTCCTCTCAGGAAATACATTATTCTGTAAGCGAGATAAAGATGCATTTTTTTATTGTTTTAAAAATATACTTTAGCGGTTCGCGCTCCCGCGCCCGGGCTGAGGCGGCGCGGGGG